TTTCCTAACAGCCCCCATTCTCACAACACCCATTTTGCCTCTGAGCCCCACATCAACTCATTCTCTTTTAACTCTTTTCCCCATTTCAACATTTGATGAATGAGTTTCAACATTTTAGCTCACCTGTCTGCCACTGATCTGCTTCTAAACAATTGCTGACAAGTCCGAACACTCTGCTCTATTTACGACAAAACCTCAGGAGGCTCCAGCAACGCGTCCATGAAATTCAGCTTATCACAGGCCCTTTCCTGCTGTCAACCCCTCCTGCTTCCTTCCATTCCCTGTTATTATCATCCCTTAGCACATCAAGTCTAGCTTGGGCTGTAGAATGCTCAGAGCAGGGACATTTGCTTTAGGAGTCGCAAAGACTCAAGGCACGCTTCCAGTGCTACACAGGTATCATTAACTTGGTTTGATCAGACAGGTGGCTCAGTGCAGCAGTCTGCACAGCCGGAGGCCCAGCTCTTATGCACCCCATTTCCATAGCCACCCCAGTGTTCTGCACTGTACGATGGTGAATAAGCTGCACGGAGATGAAGGAGTGCAATAGAAACGGCTCAGATGGGCACCCAAGGACACCTATGGCTATGTAGGTTGCAATCCAGACTGCGTTCACCTCTGCAGATTTGCAGATATGTTGAGTCGTTGCTTTGTTGACTGTTGAATCCTTGATATACCTTTCTAAACGCGTGTGTGTGGTGCCTTCCTGACAAACATGCTAACCTTAGCTGTGTGCTTCCCATGCAGTTCTCCTCAGAACCCAATATTGACACTAACATTATAATGAACATATATACTTGTGGGAGTACATTTTTATTTAAAGCTCAGAGTTAACAATATTTGCATGTTTCTACACTGCTAACAAGAGGAATAACGTAATTTTAAGGAAAAAAAGGCAGAAGAAACAAACTAATGAAGACCTGTACATCTATGTTAGCCATGTTGGAGCACCACGCTTGTACAGTCAAAGGTGACAACACCGGATCTCTAAAGAATAACAGAATCAAAGGATTGTAGGTGTTGAAAGGGACCTCTGGAGACAAGCGAGTCTAAACCCATGCTCGAGCGCCTGCTCCACAGTACCTCACACAGGAAAGCGTCCAGAGGGATCTTACTTCTCTCCAGAGAAAGAGAATCCACAGCCACTCTGGGCAGCTTGTTCCAGTGCTGCATCACCCTAAGTGCAAAGAAATTCTTCCTCCTATTTGTACGGAAGTTCATGCGTCCCAGTTTTTATCTGTTGCTCCTGGTCCTGTCACTGAGTACAGACTGCCTCACCAATTTAACTCAAACAATTCAGATTCATAAACAGAGAGACATTCTCAGTGATTCTGTCTTCCTCAGGATGAACAGGATGAACATATGCTGGCTATGCTCTTTATAATGCACCCCAGGATACCATTGGCCTTCTGGGCCACGAGGGCACACTGCTGGCTCATGCACAATCTGTTGCCCACCAGGACATGCAGATTATTCACCACGGAGTCCCTTTCCAGCTTCTTTCCTTAGCCTGTTCTGATGCATGCAGGTCAGCGCTGGCCTGCACTGGGGGATGAAACAGAGACATTGATGCAGGAGCTACTCAACACCACTGTGCACCAGTACAGTGATGAGTCTGCACTGGGTCACTGGGTCTGCAGGGCGCCCACCAGGGAAAAGCACTTCCCAAAAGGAAGCCAAATGGGGAAGGCTGCAAGCATGGGGACAGGTGCTCTGGGTAGAAAGAGTGAAGGAAGACACGTGGCATCTGAAAATGGAGAGAGAAGAGCCAGGTGGGAGTGCAGAGAACACAAGCTGATGCAGCCTCACAGCCTGGCTCATTTAAATGGTAGCAGAAACCTGAGCAGGAATGGAGAGGTGAGTCAGTCTTATAATTAGCCCTCTTTGGCAACATACCTAAAGCAGGGGGTAGAAATAGCAGAGCAAATTCTGGCCCACTTACACTGATGCAAATCTGTAATATTTAGCTGTAAATAAATTCATTTTATCTATGTTTTCTCCAGAAGGACTACATAAACCCAGTATAGCCATTTTCAGATCTTCATGATGAACATCATGCTTGTTTCCACATTTTTAGTGGCATTGAAGGAGACACCACAACTAGAAAGGCATTTATTTTTCATGGCACAGCACAACTGCTGAACAACAATATCAAACTATTTTCCATTCAGTGTAACCTATTTACTTGACAAGTTAAATGTTTCAATACAACCTGAGAACCGTATTTCTTTAAGGCAGATTTTAGTAGGGAATTTTCATCAGCAGCTGTTTTACAGAAAAGAGATGGTCCTGTGAGGCAGGACACTGGTTCATGGGAATGTGAATTCACATTTTAACAGAGCACTATGAGTTGATAATTTCATTCTCAGCCCAAAAGAGCATTAATACATCTCACAAACACACATACTTACCAATATGAATGTTGGCATCTCCCTAAGACCTAGGAGGGCAACACAGAAGCAGTTACTGTAAGCGAAACGGCTTGGCAGATTGATTGTATTTGCAATGAGGTTCTTCACCTGTCTACCACATTGTACAATATTTATGATATCAACTGTGTTCCCTAGCTAATTGAATGAGAAATAAATGCAATTCTGACACTCATGACAAAAAAGAGACACCTTTTACTCCAAATTGATGACAAGGCCATTCAGTGGCTATGATCCCTCATGCAAACTGAATTACAGAATCACAGAATCACAGAATTGTAGGGGTTGGAAGCGACCTCCAGAGATCATCAAGTCCAACCCCCCTGCCAAAGCAGGTTCCCTACAGCAGATCGCACAGGTAGGCATCCAGGCAGGTCTTGAACATCTCCAGAGAAGGAGACTCCACCACCTCCCTGGGCAGCCTGCAAAATTTAGAAGCTGTGCATCTTGCAGCCATGTTTAAAAGGCCTCAGAAACACATGCAGATACAGAAATTTGAAGTGCTGCTGGGCTGACTGCTGTGGGGGCAGAAGGACCGTGGTGACATCACCGAGCAACAGGCTGTGATGTCACCAAGAGATGCACTGTGAATGCAGCACCACCACTGCTCAGCTTTGGGCAGAGCCTGGCCCAGTCAATCTCGAGCCTGGACTCCTGCCGAGCGCGTGTGCGAGGTTGGAGGTGGAGCGAGCATTTCTCTTGGGTGCTGGGCTGTGCTTTGGGCACTGCCGGCAGCGGCTCTCGCTGCCCGTCCCTACGGCCATCACCTGCGTTTCCCTGGCCTGCCTGCCTCAGGCAGCCGGGGCCCCACGTGGCGCACGTGCAGCAGCAGAGGTGAGCTGGGGACACGTCCCCCAGGGAAGAGGTTGGGTGAGCGCTGGGACTCAGGGAGCTGCCAGGGTCAGGGCTGCAGCCTGAGGGACCTCTGAGGGTTTGGGGAGCTTGGCGTGGCCCAGGTATGGGGCCAGGAGGGTGTCCAGCTGAGGGACCTGGGCTATTCTTTGGACTGTCCATGGGATGGAGAATGACTGCGGCCTCTCTCTCTCTTGCAGTGCGCAACATTCACCCCTGTGGCACTGGTGAAGAGGAGCGACACCTCATCCTCACTCCCCAGTGAGCCACAGCATAAGGACCATGGCAGCAGAGCAGGAATGCATATGTGCCATCTGCCAGGATACATGCCAGGACATGGCCTACGTGGTGCCTTGCCACCATGAGTTCTGCCTCGTCTGCATCCTGCAGTGGGGCAAGCAGAAGAAGAGCTGCCCGCTCTGCAGGAGGGACATGGAAATGGTCAAGGTCGCTGCATGGGATGACAATGAGGACCTAAACTTCATCATCTGTCCTCCAGCATCACCAGTACCTGCCTCCTTCCTGGAAGGCACTGCTCTGAACTTCATCAGATCTAGCCCTGCATCATCCCCTTCGCTGTCTCCTCTGCCATTCTCAGATGAGGAAGAGGAAGAGGAGGCAGACGAGGAGGAGGATGAGGAAGATGAGGAGATGGAGGAAGAGGAGGCAGAGGAGGGTCCTTTGGTGGGCGGTCTCCGGCCTCGGACCTGGGCACAGCTGTTCAGGCAGCACCAGGAGATCCTGGACCCTGTGCTGCCCAGGCTGCACCAAGAGCTGAGAGTCATCCTTGGCAATGACTGGCGGCCGGTAATGGCAGCAGAGAGCTTCATCCTTGATGTTCTATGTGACATCAGGCTGGACAGAGAGCAGATGATAGAGCTCATGTGGCCTGAGATGGAGGAGGAAACGGAGACGTTCGTCCAGAGGCTCATCAACACCATTGTGCACGAGTGCAGCGAGGAGGCCCACAGGCTGCTGGGTCTGCGGGGCGCCCACGTGTGTGGGGCGCAGGAGGAGGGCCCTGCAGTCAGGGGGCAGGAGGACAGCCCTGCCCCTGGCCCCACAGCCTCCCCACAGGTGACATCAGTGCCCGCACTCTCTGGCAGCACCGCGACATCCAGCAGAGAGGAGCAGCCCAGCACAGCAGGGGCTGACGATCGTGCGGCTCCCAGTCACGGCCCCGCTGCACACACGGCGAGGGAAGCGGAGCGGCCCCGCGAGGAGACGGAGCAGGAGGCAGCAGCAGGTCCCTCTGCCCGGAGCAGCAGCCCCTCCGCTCCTGGCCACTGTCCTGAGAGGGCCCGGCGGCCCCCGAAGAGGAGCGCCGACAGCGACCTGGACCCACAGCCGCCCTGCAAGAGGCCGCCGCCTCGGCGGGACTAGCAGGGTTACACTTCTCCTTTGTAGATATGTAAACAAATAAATAATGGTTACAAAGAATCACAGAATCAGTGTGCATTGGAAAGGCCTCAGCTCTAAAGTATGTTCCCTGCAGCTGGGCAGAGGGGATCAGCTCCCTCAATGTTTTACCTGTTTCAAGCAGAGCCTCACAGGGGCAGTAGAATTGTCTCAGTGGAGTTTCTAAAACATATTGCACATAAAATCTGTCATTTTATACGACATATTTTAATTATTCATGTTTATATGGAATAAAATATTTTGGGATTCATTGATTTTAAACAAGGCAATCATTGGACAGAAAAGTGGTAGACCCTCATTAGGAAGCTCACTCGCCGCCCTCCGGGGCGGGATGAAGACCGCGCATGCGCAATGCGCTGAGTTCCGCTTTCCGGCCCGCTCTGCCTGCTGGCCATTGCGGGGCTGTGAGGGGTGAGCTGTAATTGCTGCGCGGCAGATCCGCACCACGCGGAGCGCCCTCGGGTACCGCAGCGTTCTGAGCATCAGCCTGGGCGAGGGGCTGCGGGGAGCAGGAGGGGCCGTGAGGGGCGCAGCGGCGGTGCTTTGCTGGGGGCTGGGATGGCCGCGGCTCGTGAGGACAGCGCTCCCGGAGTGGGCTGTGTGCCAGTGGCTGTGGGGCTGCTGTGGAGGTGGAAAGGGGTGGTTCTGGACTGTGCTGAGCCAGAAGGAGGTGGTTTGAGGCAAGCTGGTGTGTTAGGAAGAAAACCTGTGTAGGACTAGAAATAACAAGGCTTGCCTACCCAGCAGTGCCTCAGAGTCTGAGGTCACCCTGAAGCAGGGTGTTATGGAGTGTAGCCTTCACCTTCGTTTCTCACGTATTGTTGGACTCCACTGATTAACCGAAGTATCCAGCTCTGGTTGCATGGTCTGGATTCCTTTAGGGGTTCACTTTTCTCTGGTGGCAGGTGACAGAATGAGGGGAAATGGCCTCAAGTTGTGCCAGGGTAAGTTTAGGTTGGATATCAGGAAACACTTCTTTACAGATGGGGTGGTTAAACACTGGAATGGGCTCCACAGGGAGGTGGTTGAGTCACCATCCCTGGATGTGTTTGAAAGCCATTTGGATGTGGTGCTCAGGGACGTGATTTAGCAGAGGGATGTTAGAGTTAGGTTGCAGTTGGACTTGGTGATCTTTAAGGTCTCTTCCAACCTGAGCAATTCTATGATTCTGAGTGAAAAGCAGGTCCCCAAACCACTGCTCTGCGTCATGTAGGGGCTCAAGGTATTTTAATCTTCAGGCTGCAATTGGAAGAGATTAAGCAAGCTTTGCATTTGAGTACAGTCTGGTAATACTTTCAGAGCGGTGACGTGATGTCAGTTTGGGGATGATTTGTTTTGTCTCTATATGTAGGATTTAGGACTGGATTTGCTGAAATGATTGATTTAGCAAGTCAGCGATCATTCCCCTGTGTAATAGATGCACAAGCTGAAGTGCCACCCTGCCATCATTTCAGAGCTATCTTTTCCTGTTAGGCCCATTGCCTTATTTTGGAGGCTCTGACACTTGGCCTTCCCTTTTGCTGCTCTTGCCGTTATTCTCTTTGGCTCAGAATACCTGTGTTGCTTTCATGCTGTATTTTCTTCTTGCTCTTGTAGTGCTTTGCTAACAGGAGTGGCTGAAAGGAGGCAGTTGTACATCAGTACTCCAGGGTAGATGTGTGTATACAAATATCTTGTGTTTGTGTTATTAAGAAATAGTTCCCCATCACCATGCTAAAATGAACTTGGCCCTGTCTTGCTGATTGCTGCAGTTCCAGCTCCATGCTCTCTCAATCTTTTTGTGCTTATCTTCTGGAATCAGCTGTGCAGTGCTTCTAAAAACAAGAATTTAAAAATGTGAAGGAAGCATAGTGTGCATGAACAAACTCCACTTGATTTTTCTGGAGACTTATGTCATTATTTATTCAAACAGACACAGTACAGACAATGTATAGCTTCAAGTACAGGGTTGTGGAAGTCTTATTCTTCTCCACTGCATCCCAAAAGTGAATTTTTGTAAAACTCCAGGAAAGGATTGCATTTTGTGCTTTATGTCACTTTTCACAAGGGAGCTGACTAGCAGAGAAGGAACCCTTTTCCACAGCCTTTTGAGAGACTGTGGATGCTGTCTCTGTGGGCCCACTAATAGTTGCTTATGCCCTCAGAATGTTTCTGCTGCAAGATGTCTTTAGGTGGAAGACAGCTAAAAAGAATGGGCAGCTGCTGATGTGAGATTTTAGGGGGCAAAATGAATCCAATGTGGAGAAGTTATTTCATTTTTAAAAAGAAAAGGTGTAAGGAGATGTGCAAAGAGAATGGAGAGACAGCTGGTAGAAATAGTTAAGGAAATGGAACAGAGATGGGACAGATGTCTTTAATCAATTGGTAGACTGATACAGAGGAACACTTATTTCTTTGTGCAGTTAATGGGCCATTTTTGTAGCAGAGTTCATGCAGTGCTTTAAACAGAGTGAGAAATTTTCAAAAGCAAAGCTTCCAGGCTGCTTTCCCAGTATATTTATGTTGTGTCTTGTGCTTTTGTGGCAGTCAGAAGCGTCACAGTGGGACACCGTTCTTCCACAGAGTCCACTCTGTAATTGCTTCTGTGCCTAGAGTATAAAAGGTAGCCCTGAGCAGGCTGGTGAGAACTGCTAAGAAAAACTAGGCATGGTGTGAAGGTGATTCAGCATAGGTAATTCTGCAATGTCCTACTTAGAATGTAAAGTAGTGTTGGCATATTCTTTATACGTAAGACTGTGTGTATTGAAATTAGACTGATTTTTGTGGAAGGAATGTATTCAGATGTGTGCAGTGTGCAATAATTGGGCTTGATTGCCTTAATTATGGGATAGCTTGCAGTGCTCGATCATCTTAGAATTGTGGATCTCGTTTCCTTTTGCAGGAAGGTCCAGCTGTGTATGTGTGCCCGCTCATCTTTGGGAAATGTCCAAAGTTTCCACTTACGCCCTTCGAATGGCCCGTCTGAGTGCTCAGATATTTGGAGAAGTTGTCAGGCCAACTGACTCAAAATCCATGAAAGTTGTAAAGTTATTCAGTGAGCAGCCTATAGCCAGAAGGAAGGAGGTCTACAGCTGGTATCCACCTCACAACACCTACTATGCCCTCATGAAGAAACTCCGTTTTCTTGGTCTCTACAGGTAAGTGCCCTGCTTATGGGATGGGAGCAGGACTGGAGATGGAAATGGTGGGGATGAGTTCTGTTGCAATTTTTTCCTTATGAACAGGAGGAGTAGAAAAAAGTCCACTTCAGAATGTGGTGCTTATGGAAATTGGCACTTGTACTGAGGGCAAGGAGAGCAAAATATGTGAGTGCTGTCTAAATAACTTTTCATGTCTGATTGATTCTGTGAAAAAGACTTCCGATGTCACAATGGTCAGCTGGTTATTTAAGAAATAGTTCTTACTCTGTGTGGGGATGTCAGGAGAGCTGCTCTGTAGAGAAGAGCTGGGTCTGGTTCTGAGTGTGCTTTAAAGAAGTGATAATCTTAAGATAGGAATTGCACTGAGAAGCGTTAGCCTGTATTGATGAATCATTCAAAAAATAATTGAAATTTAGAAGAGGTGTCTGTGTTTGACTGGAGGAGCTTTTTATTCTTTAGTAAATTAAATTCAAATATGACGTAAGTACCCTTACTGATTTCATTTTCATCAAAAGCAGTTGTGTTCTTTCTTTGTGAATTTCCACACTCTCAAGTAGAAAAAAACTTCACTGCTAATGAACATCAGCAGGTGTCAAATGCAGTCATTTGACTTCAGTCAGGTAGCACTGAAGAATTGCCTCAAAAACCTGGCTGCTAACCTTGTAAAATCAAAACACATTGATTTCTATTGCTAGTGTTGCAGTTTGGCCTGTGAAGGACTGCCTCCAGGATAATCTTGGTTTTGGTGAGCACTTTATTATGTATGGATGCAGAAAACCTCAGTGACATAATAGTGTACTTTTCCCTTCTTCCTTCCTAATCTCAGGGTTCCTTCTCTAGCTGCTGTCTTTATAGGGAGCTTGTAGAGAATCAGATTTCCTGTTAGAAACATGTGACAAAGGGTTGTAGGCTAAAAGGACCTGATAATAATTTAAAAGCGTTTTGTTTCTTGTTCAGAAAAATTGTGTTTAAAAATAGCAATGCAGCCATTTTAGGCCACTTTGAATGCAGCTGTCATTTTTGAAAGATAACTTTGCGCAGAGAAATACGGATTAAAAGATTAAATAGAATTTATTGAAACATTATTGAAGGTTAATGATCTCTGTCAGCACCTTCCTCCTCTTCTGTTTTATTTTCCCATTAAGGTTCTACAGGAGCTGATGCTTTCTTCATAACTCACTGTTGAAGTCACCTGAGAGCAGTGTCATGTACTAATTATTGCTCCATGGGCCCCTCTCTTCTCAGAAGCTAATGACCTGAACGTAGTGTAGAGCATATAAAAGCAGTGTGCTATTGCTAGACTGCTGGGTTAGATGCTAAGAGGGGAAATCTCATCCTTGCTCTTTTTTGTGTTTGTTTTCCGTTGTGTTTGAATGAGTAAGAACACTGTAAGAAATGCATACGTGCACAAGTGTGAATATGGACACACACCCTGTTTCTTGTTGAAAAGAGCACCCTTGTTAGTTCTGAAAGATGCAGAGCAATTCTTTCTCATTATTTCAGTCAAAATTACTGCTGGCAGTAGCACAGTACATTGCGTTGTGTTCCAGTATGGACTTGCTTGTTTGAGAAAGTTGATATGTATTTTTTTCATTATCATGCTGTTCAAAGGAGCTTTTCCATCTAGATACTCCAAGAAATAGAGCAACTTTTTCTTTTCTTCCCCACTTAGAGATGAGCATCAGGACTTCAAAGAGGAGATGAGGCGGTTGAAAAAGCTCCGTGGAAAGGAAAAACCAAAGAAGGGCGAAGGAAAGAGAGCTCTCAAGAAGAAATAGTGCCCACTGGACAATATAACAACTGTGGAAGTGCTGAAGAACACCTGTAACCCACAGTTTCTGTTCCCTGATGGAGGGGGCTTAGTATGAGAGCTTCATTTGGAGCACAAGAAACACGTGAAATACTGGAGTCCACCTTGGGAGTGCATTTGGGTCTTAGTGTTTTGCTGGGTATTATTAATTCCTGTATCTGAAGTATTCTGGATGCTGTAGCACATTTGTTTATCATGAGAGCCTTCCTGTACCCAAGTAGTAACAACAATGGTTGGAAAAGAAAAAAAAAAGTCTCTGTGTTTTCCTTGGATACATCAGCAGCCATGTTCCAGTTTTTCTGGATCTGGAAAATGTCTTTTTTCCTCTTTTACTTTCTTGCATTGCTATCAATGCTGTTTTGCATGTGACCACAAAAAGAAAAGAAGTGTTTCCTCCTTCTGCTGCTTATTATCTTGCCTATTAGGTTGAGTTTTGCTCCAGGTAGCTTCAACATTGATTATCTTTTTAAAGTTGCTGTTAGAATCTATGGTTTTGCACTGCATAATCCTTGATGTTCCATTGCCTGCCTGCAGCATCTCATTGTACCTTGAATATTTAGATACTGCCATAGAAGCAACTGAAAAACGAGGGCTGAAGCTGCTTTCAGGACCCTCTCCTAATTAAAATACATAATTAATATTTAACATAATGTAAAAGGATGTTGAATATAGTTCAGTTGCCTATTGGACACGCGAAGTGCTTCAAAAAGTACAAAGCAGTTTTATAGATATGCACTAAGTGTTTGGTTTTTTTTATAGCTATGCCCCTTCAGTGTTGTTAATAATGACGTGTACTTTCTTTACCTGTCACTCACTGTCAGGAAACACAAAGTATAGAATGTAACTCTGCTGCTTTGTTGGCCACATATGTATCCTGCCCGGAAGTGCCTTGAAACTATATCTTTAATTTCAGGCCCCAGAAACCTAGAGGAACAGCCCTGAGCTACTGAAAGAGAGCTGTTCAAACCTTAGAATGTCTGAGGCAGAAAGTGTTGCACAGTAAGCTTGGGGCATGCTTAATTCTTGCATACAGAGTCATTCTAAAGTAGGTAACTACTGACCTGGGGCCACTTCTAAACCAAGCTTGTTGAAATGTGTTTTTAGAGGGGCTTGTCTGATGGGTGAAATTGATGGATTTACATAAATTTGTAACAGCTTCACATTTTTTTTTCCTTCACCAATGTTATGAACTCAACTAGTGCCAATTGAATTAAAGGTGCTACTTGCAGATGCTGTAGGGTCAAATTAACTGTGGCAGCTGTGGACTGCTGGTGTCTGTAGTAGCAGCAGCTATGTTGGCCAGGACTTGGCATCTTCAGAAACTGAACTGAAAATCAAATGTTTTCTCTGCATTTTAAAGAGGAAAATGCCAACAGCAAGCTTTGCTTTCCTGGGAATGTATAAGTATACACAATGAAGCATGCACACAGCAAAAATTGACTGTATTTCTGCTCCAGTAAAGAATACACAATCTTAAACTCTGGGTGTGTGAGGAATCCTGTTTATTTGAGTATGATATATAAAATGCTTACACAGCCTAATAGATCTGCTAAGTTTATCCTTCTGAATCTCCGTTAAGTCTGTTTAAGGACTCAGCATCTACAGAGCCTATGGAGAACAGTGAATGCCACAGCTGTCCTGTGTCTTTGCTAGACATAGGTATGGATTCAGCAGTGTAATACTAATTGGAGCTGAGGATCAGATCTGTTCTTGTCTGCTCAAAGCACCTGGCTATTTATGGATTGTAAGGAGCTCTTGTCATGCACAAGAAAGTGAAAGCCTTGTTGGTCTAATCAGCTATAACAAGCCCCTTTGTCTGCAACCTGACAGAGAAAACCTGCCCTTGGAATCAAAGCATCACACTGGGAGCATGCTTTGGGAACACACGGCAAAGTATCCAAAAAGGCTTGGTAAGTGAACAACTGTGAAACAAACACAGACAATGAATCACTGGTGTTCATCCCCGTTCTGCAGTGTTTATGAAAGCACAGTGGATAGAGTGAAGTCATTTTAAAGAACGATCAGAACTTTAAAAAGAAAAAGCTGTGTGAGTACAGAAAGAATTCCTCTGCCTAACTGTTGATAATTTTTCTTCTGCTGTATTTATTATCTAGAATTTCATCTTTTAAAAAATGGTTGTTTCCCCTCTTCTCAGACTATTAGAATAATGTTGATTCAGCATTGTTGAGTTTGTTCCAGTATTAGAAAATCTCATTACTTGCTGGAGTGCAACTATTCTGTTGCAGAACAGTTTTCTTCGTCTATATCCCACTATCCATGAGTGGGATAGAGATAGGCACTTTCCTAGCTAGCTTCTATCACTCTATTATTTAATAATAGACACTGCCCTGAAAAGGACTATTTTTTGTGAATCACAGCACTTCCACAAATTGAAATTCATTTTTGATACATCATGACAGATATTAACCCAGTGTGTGTTTTTAGGAGGGGAAGTGGGGTTTCGCCCATACTCAGAGGAGTAAGGATGAGAAAACTTAACTTAGAACTGTCAGTATATGTCATATCCGTTTTATGTACTAATAATAAGGCTCAATTTTATTTTTATTTTCCCTTTGCAATTATTCTTTTCACCATTTGAACTCCATGTTTTGTTACATAATTCACTCTTCCTGAGGTTACGAGCTGACTGTCCTTGGCAAACGTTTAGATGGATATTTTAATTCTCGAACGGAATTCATCCAGATGAGTGATCTCTGAGGGAGTAAATGAGAGCCCTACCCCTAACCTCTTCTGAATCCTGAACAGGTTAATTAAGTGCCACTGCTGCCCTCTATTAAAGGTGAGCAAGAACAGGCAGAGGATGTGCAAAGGCTTTAAGTTAAAAGTGGAGGCTTAGGTTAGATATTAGGAGGAAATTCTTTACTGGGATGGTGGTGAGGCACAGGAACAGGTTGCCCAGAGAAGCTGTGGATACCCCATCCCTGAGTCCTCGGGCAGCCTGATCTGGTGGGTGGTGGCACTGCCCACAGCATGGGGTTGGACTGGATGGGCTTTAAGGTCCCTTCCAACCCAGGCTGTTCTGTGTTTCTATGATTGCATGATGTGTGCTCTATCTCACATGCCAGCTTAGCTCCCTCAGCTGCAGTTGGTTTGTGACAGGAGTAGCAGCACTGAGTTTAGACAGGTATTGGCATTAGAAAACAAGGTATCCAAATACTACTAAGTGTACTCCTCTGTATCATGTAAATAAATACTGAAGGTTTTGTTTATTTTTTAACTGTAACAGCTGGTTTTGTACTTCCTTATTTTATTGTGCTCTGTTTGTCTCTAGTTATAAAGTCTGTCTATAGTAGAGTTGTAGCTGCTGAGAACTTCCTCGACAATCAAAAGTTATTTTATAAAAGAACCAATCCAGTTGCTATATATCCTACAGAGAGTGCAGCTATTGCTGGGTCTGTTAGTTTTGAAAGTCCTGCAGACAGCAGAAGTCAACATGTTTTATGGAACAAACGAAAGCAGTGTTTTCTGTTACACTCAGTAGTGTGCTAAAATACAGACACACGCTCTGCTCAGGAAAGTACTAACTTGAAGACAGTTTCTCCTAATGTGGAGTCCATTCTACCCACTGAACCAATGCACAAATTTTACTGAAATGCACCTGACTGCTACGAAGTTGTGCTGTGGTTACAATTATTAACAGTAAGACAAATGTATTGTCTTACTTGACAGCATTTCCTCAAGAGTAAATTCAGAATAATGATCACTTAGTCAATGGTGTCATGATGGTAAGCTGCTTTTAGGATGGGAATTTACCCCAGGAGAACCCCGTGTAAAGATCAGCTTAGTCTGCTCTTAGTAGGACTTGTGTTTCTTTGCATTTCAAGGCTTTCTTTCAGAGAGCTTCTTCATGAGGGAGTTGATGAAGTTGATGGCATCGTTAGCACTTGAAATAAGCTGTGGTAAATTAATGTGGTCACACTGTTTAAAAATAATTCTTCTTGAATTGTAAATACTTATGAAATTTTAAAGCACGTGTACAAATTCCTCCACTTCTTGAAGGCCATTTTAGCATCTTTTCTTTTTTCTTAAAAGAAAGCAAACCAAACAAAACATAACCCCACAACATTCAGTAATCTGTATGTTTTATAAAAGCTTCACGATTCTTAAAGGTTGTTTTGATGAGGGAAAAGCTTTGTTTTTGGTTTTGTGTTTTTTTTGTTGTTTTTTTTTTTAATTATTATTATTTTTTTCTCTTGAAGTAAAAGGGGTAATACGCAAAGAGAGCAGTGCTATGAGGATGCCAGATTAGGTCCTTTAAAGTCAGTTCTCCTGCATAGCTGTTCATTTGTGATGTTTGTGCAGTCCCTTGGGAGCAAATCAACAAAACCTGCAAGGAGACTCTCTGTCATCTTGATACTGAGACATGTGAGAGCAGAAACCTTTCCTGTTTAACCTCTGCTAGAGGCAGCTGCATTTCCCTAACCTGCCCAAACCACAGTGGAAAAGTCAAGGGTTCTGATAATAAGACTTTTCCTTGAGAGTGAAATAAGAATAATGATCATTTAGTCAATGGTGTCACGATGGCAAGCTGCTTTTAGGATGGGAATTCACCCCAGGAGAACCCTGTGTAAAGAATAGCTTAGTCTTGCCACAGTAGGACTTTGTGCCCCTGTGCTTTTCAGGGTTTTCTTTCAGTGAGAATTTTCAGTGAGAGAATTGATGATGATATTGTTAAGATAAGACATATTAGAAATGTAAGAGTAAGCAGAAGTGGAGGAAAAAAAAAAAAGCATTATCATAAATTCTAGAGGTGAGAATGAAATACTGCAAATGGGCCGGATGTTTTAATTGGATCTTTCCACGCCTGCACATCTGGAATAGCATGGCAGCATGAAGGACATCTTACTCTTATTCTCCTCTTCAGTTTTCCTCCAATATAATAATAACATGTCTTAAGAGGAGACGGGAAGGAACAGACTTGAAAACATTAGAAAGAATTTACTTATGAAGGCTCAGCAAGAGCAAAGCACAGCTCTAGTGCTTAACTGGTGAGGAACACTACAACAGGCAGAACCTGAGGGCCATGACCAGCATACTGGCTGAGGAATTACGTAGGGTTGTGCACGGTGCTAAATATGAAATCAACAGGATAATGATCTTGACACCGAAGTATCTTTATAAATACCACCTTAAGCTGTTCTGGGTAGGATACTGCTAAAAACTCCACAAGGTTGGATATTTGGAAAAACTGAGAAGGTTCCCTAGAGGTAGGTTATGTTTTTCTTATCGGAGGCAGTCAGAGCTAGACTGAGTGAAGTGTTACAAAACAGAGCCCAGGGACCACTTCCCTCTTGGAAGAAGAGGCAGCAGATGGGATGATCTCATACATTTTCTCATGCTGTAGCTAGGTCTGTGAAAACAAATCTCACCAAGGGCTACGAAAGCATTTTGATATCCATTATGTTTCCTGCCTACACTTGAAAGTACTTTACTTCATCCTAGCACTCCTAAAGCTATCTGTAAATATTTCATAGAGTTCAGGGGGTCTCTTGCACTTCAGTTGATGTTTCTGCAAGGCTGATGTTTGTCTTATGGGCTCTTTCAGTAAATAGATCTTTGAATGGCATTAGGGGCAAAAAAACAGCTGAGATCCAGAAAGACTGAAGAATATGAGACTGCTACGTGCAATGGTGTATCATTTCCAATACATAATTGGAAGTGCACCACATTCCTGAATTTTCAGTGCAGTCTTGCCTGCATGAAAATGAATGTGGTCAATTGAGCCCAGGCTCAAAAGTGGATGTCTACAATGTTATTTCAGATTCAAGCTCCAAAAGATGTGGCCTAACTTTAGAAACTATGTGAATACTCAGCATCTCTAACTACTACAAGGTGTGCTTGCTTTTGTACAACTGCAAGGTAAATACTATGCCAGCATACAGTTGTAGTTGCCTTTTGCTTTTGATTGATACCAAACAGGACTGATGAAATATCTCTCTAGAGAGTCTGTCATGCCTATTAATGCAATAAACAGCTGTTTCTGCAGTGATGTTCAGTGTCAATCAGAAGCATATCAGGCTGTCTAGGTACCATACACTGATTTCCATGGAGAATTGTAGGTGTCTTAAAGAAAATCCAGTCCACTCTAAGACTGTACAGCTGAAGAGAGCTGTACTGACATCCAGGTGATGCTATCCTTCTTATGATCAGCAATCATTACAGAGAAAGTGCAGCAATTCTAATTTCTATAACTACGTGAAGGAGGCTTTGTGTGACAAAGCAGCATCAAACTGCTGCTCAGAAAGCTTTTGGGGGAGCAGCAATCAATGACTGAGGTCATCCCAGTGCTGGAAGCGTGTGCGTTCTATATGGGACTGCATGGAGTATGGAGAACATGCATATTTACGTGCATATTTACGAGTATGGAGAACGTGCATATTTACATACAGGGATTTCTGGGAGTCTAGAGTTTATGCTGACTTTCTATTTAAGAAATTGAGGTGAGGCTGCTGTTTCA